CTCTGGGGGTCCTGTCCTCACTCGCTTTTCCACTGTCCTCCCGTGTCCGGCTGCCCCCTCGGGCACCCTGTCTGGCCTGTACCTCCCCTCGTTCTCGACGAACTTGGTGAGTAGTGCAGACCTACAGGATGCGGGGGTTCACCAGTTCACTCCTGCGAGTCAGCGGGTGACCCACTGCACGGACGCACGCACAGGCCGGCACCTGGCCACGTTCTCGCGTCGGCCGGGGTCGAGCCTCTACACCCTGACCACTGAGTCTCCTCCTGTCCCCGCGTCCGGTCAGGTAGCAGCGTCGGGTCAGGTGTTTGCTGCTGCGTCCAGGTCTGGTCCTGAGTCTGCCCCCTGTTCGTGTCGCCTCCTGTCTCACGAGACTCTCCTGTGGCACCACCGTCTAGGCCACCCCTCCTTGCCCCGTCTTCGGAGCATGGCTTCCCGTGTCCTTGTCTCTGGTCTTCCCCAGTCTCTCCCTCCCCTTCCTTCGGGACCAGGACCTTCCTGTGTCCCCTGTGTCAAGGGGCGCCTCAGGGCTGCTCCTCACTCCTCCCAGTTTCCCCCGACAGAGGCTCCTCTGCAGACGCTTCACATGGACGTGTGGGGCCCGGCCCCCGTCCGTGGGCAGGGTCACGAGCGCTACTTCCTGTTGGTGGTTGACGACTACTCGCGTTACACCTCAGTCTTCCCCTTGCGCAGCAAGGGTGCTGTCACTGAGGTGCTGATCGACTGGATCCGCGAGGCTCGTCTCCAGCTCAGGAGGAGCTTCGGCTCGGACTTTCCTGTTCTGCGTCTGCACTCTGACCGAGGTGGGGAGTTCTCCTCTCGCCTTCTGCGAGACTACTGTCGTGCACAGGGGATCCGCCAGACCTTTACGCTTCCGGACTCTCCACAGCAAAATGGGATAGCTGAGCGCCGCATTGGCATGGTCATGGATGTCGCTCGTACGTCCATGATGCATGCGGCTGCCCCCCATTTTCTGTGGCCGTTTGCGGTTCTGTACGCGGAGCATCAGCTCAACCTTCACCCCAGGGTCTCTCGGCCCGCGATGTCCCCAGTGTTACTGTGGACGGGGAAGGTCGGCGATGCGTCTGCGTTCCGTGTCTGGGGATCTCGGGCGTTTGTCCGCGACTTGTCTGCGGACAAGCTGTCCCCCCGTGCTGCTCCCTGTGTCTTCCTTGGCTTCCCCCCTGACGCTCCAGGGTGGCAGTTCTACCACCCCTCCTCTCGTCGCGTTCTGTCCTCCCAGGACGTCACGTTCGACGAGTCAGTCCCCTTCTACCGCCTCTTCCCCTACCGTACTCCTTCCCTCCCCCCCCCACCGGACTTCCTGGTACCAGTTCCCCCCCCGGTAGACCCCCTCCCCCCTCAGGTTCCTGCCCCTTCAGGTGTGTCCCAGGTAGACACAGTTGAGCCAGTCAAGGTTGCTGCTGAGTCTGGTCCTGCTGCGGGTGCTGAGCCTGGGGGTGCTGCTGCTGGGGGTGCTGAGCCTGGGGGTGCTGAGTCTGGGGGTGCTGAGCCGGGGGGTGCTGAGCCGGAGGGTGCTACGTCCGGAGCTGCTGAGCCTGGGGGTGCTGGGCCTGGAGGTGCGGAGCCTGCGCCTGCTGGACCTGGGGGCTCTCCGGTTCTTCCGTCTCGACGGGAGCCGCTCTCTCCACAGGAGCTGCGCGAGTGGTTTGCTCGCCGCTGGAGGCGTGCTGCTGGAGCTGGAGCTTCTTCGCCTGCTGAGGGTGCTGGTGCTGCCGGTCCCGGAGCTGCTGGGCCTGCGGGTCCTCCTGGAGCTGGAGCTACTGAGCCTGGGGGTGCTGAGTCTGGAGCTGCTGAGCCTAGAGGTGCTGAGTCTGGAGCTGTTGAGCCTGGGGGTGCTACGTCTGGAGCTGTTGTGCCTGGGGGTGCTGAGTCTGGAGCTGCTGAGCCTGGGGTTTCTCCTGCTACTGCGTCTCGCCGGGAGCCCCTCTCTCCACAGGAGCTGCGCGAGTGGTTTGCTCGCCGCTGGAGGCATACTGCTGGAGCTGGAGCTTCGTCGACCGTCGAGGGTGCTGGTGCTGCCGGTCCCGGAGCTGCTGGGCCTGCGGGTCCTACTGGAGCTGGAGCTGCTGAGGGTGTTGGTGCTGAGACTACTGCTGTCTGTCCTGGCGGTGGTTCTGCTACTGGTGCTGCTGGAGGTCCTGCCGCTGGAGGTGTTGGTGGCGCTCGTGCTGTCGCTGAGGGTGCTGGTGCTGTCCCTGCTGAGTCTGGAGCTGCCGCGCGGCCTCGGCCGTACTTCGTTCCGCTCCTACAGCAGGTTCTTGGTCTTTCTCCTTCGGTAGAGTGTCCACAGCCTGTCCAGTCGCAGTCCCTGCTGGAGCCTTCCTCTCCACTACCTGCTCCCTCTCCTTACACTGGTCCTACTGGAGGTCTTGCTGAGCGTCGTGAGCCTACGTCTCGTCCCGCGTCGCCTGTTCGTGCTGCTCGCGCTAGTGGTCGCAGTTCGCGTCAGCGTCCTCCTCCTGTCCCTGGCACGCACCGGATGTCTTTGCGTCCGTCCACTGCTCCCCTGCGTGCCCCTTTGCCTTCTCCTCCTGAGTCCTCTCTTCCTGCGCTTGCCGACCCTGAGTCGGACTCTCTTCGTGCTGCCAGTCCTACTGTCACGCATCTGCTTGCTACTGTCGTCACTGACCCCTCTTTTGAGTCCACTGCTGCGTCTGCTCTTGTCGCTGAGCTCGTCGACTTTGCTGCTCGCTGTCGTCTTGACTACGCTGCTAGTCCTGTTGCTGAGTCTGCGTCTTTCTGTCCTCCGTCCGTTGGGGGTGAGTGTGCTGTTGGCACGGACGTCCTAGAGGACAGGCAGGAGGAGTTACAGTGTCTAGCGGCTGCTTCACCTCATCTCGCGTCTGTACTGCTTGCCCCTGAGGGAGACCCGGATGCACTAGACATCCCGACTCCGCGTTCTTACGCGGAGGCCGTAGAGGGTCCCTACTCCTCTCAGTGGCAGGCAGCTATGGATGCAGAGATGGCTTCCTGGAAGTCCACAGGCACCTACGTTGACGCGGTTCCCCCTCCTGGGGCGAACATCGTCAGTGGCATGTGGATCTTCAGGGTGAAGCGGCCGCCGGGCTCTCCACCTGTCTTCAAGGCGCGGTACGTTGCTCGTGGCTTCAGTCAGCGGCAGGGAGTTGACTACTTTCAGACCTTCTCTCCCACCCCGAAGATGACCACTCTTCGGGTGCTGCTGCACATAGCCGCTCAGCGCGACTACGAGCTTCACTCTCTCGACTTCAGCACTGCGTTCCTGCAGGGTAGCCTGCACGAGGAGATCTGGCTGCGCCGTCCGCCTGGCTTCACTGGGACTTTCCCTCCTGGCACCCAGTGGAGCCTCTGACGGCCAGTCTACGGTCTCCGCCAGGCACCGCGTGAGTGGCACGACACACTGAGGACTACGCTTGCGGCTCTTGGGTTTGCTCCTTCTACTGCTGACCCGTCGCTGTTTCTGCGCACCGACACTTCCCTGCCGCCGTTCTACATCCTTGTGTACGTCGACGACTTGGTCTTTGCCACAGCGGACACTGCTGGACTCGCCTACGTGAAGTTCGAGCTGCAGAAGAGACACACGTGCACAGAGCTGGGTGAACTGCGCAGCTACCTTGGCTTGCAGATCACTCGGGACAGAGCACGCCGCACCATTACCTTGACTCAGTCACACATGGTGCAGCAGGTCCTTCAGCGCTTCGGCTTCACGTACTCCTCGCCTCAGGCCACTCCTCTGCCTACTCGCCACTCACTCTCAGCTCTGCCTTCGGATGAGTCCGTAGAGTCGAGTGGTCCGTATGCAGAGCTTGTTGGCTGCCTCATGTACGTGATGACTTGCACACGACCTGACCTTGCATACCCTCTGAGCATCCTTGCACGCTATGTTGCTCCTGGGAGACACCGACCAGAGCACATGGCTGCAGCGAAGAGGGTATTGCGCTACCTGTGCAGTACGTCGGGCATGGGGCTAGTGCTTGGAGGGCGGAGTCCAGTGGTCCTTACAGGCCACGCGGACGCTTCTTGGGCTGACGACCAGGCTACGCAGCGGTCGTCACAGGGTTACACCTTCAGCCTTGGTTCCGGCTCTGTCTCGTGGCGGTCTACTCGCTCGTCTTCGGTTCTCGGCTCCAGTTGTGAGGCTGAGATCTACGCCGGGGCCATGGCTGCACAGGAGCTTCGTTGGCTCACCTACCTGCTGACTGACCTTGGAGAGCCGCCTCGTTCTCCTCCAGTGCTGTACGTAGACAACAAGGCCATGCTGGCCTTGTGTCGAGAGCAGCGCTTGGAGCACAGAACGAAGCACATTGCTCTCCGCTACTTCCTTGCTCGTGAGCTGCAGCAGCGTGGTCAGTTGCGACTTGCGTACGTGGCCTCTGAGGCCAACACTGCTGATGTGTTCACCAAGGCACTCGCGCCTTGTGACCATCAGCGCTTTTGCACCCAGCTGGGTCTTGTGCCTGTCTTGCCTCACTTGCTCTCCTCTTGACTTTACTTGTACTGTGACTATATATATACCTGCTCTTGCTTGTCTAGCTTTATATATATGTGTCTGTACTCTTGCATGTGAACTGGTCTTTGGCCTTACTCTTGTGCTCGGACTGTGTGGTGACTTTGTGATCCACCCTGAGCTTGCTTTGCTTTGCTTGACTGGTCTTGTGACCCCTTGTTCTCCCCCACTTTGCCTATGGGGGTGTGTCAGAATATATCTATAGCTTATACTGTTGTGTAGGCTGTAGTGGGGTATCCCATAGGGGGTACAACCCAGTTAGGGTTTCATATTTGTACTGCATTCATTCATAGTTCATCCATTCCTGTTCTCTTACTTTCACAAGCTTGTTGTTGCTGGACTGGCCACAGGCCTCGCCCCTAACGCTCGATATCGGAATCTCCGCAGCCACCGTACGACGGTCCGAACGGTCCTGCAGGCGTTGATGCGCAACACACAGTCGATGGTCGACATCATTTTCCCTTAATCCTTGGTGGAGGAGGTTCGTGCAGCTATGCTTGTGCGCATCTCTTCTCTCATCAACGGTCAGGCCTTCAATGGCGTCATTCCGTCGAATGAATCTGCTGCTGGTGAGGCCTTGCGGCTCCCTCGCCGCACCTATTCCAGGCACTCTTACTCTTCGCCCTCAGCTAATGACGCCAGAATTTTCCGCAGTCTGTTCCCGGTTACTGTGCGTTTGCCTAACAATCGTGTGGTGGAAGTCAAAGTTTTCTCTAACCCGAACGAGGAGTTTACGATCGCTCGAGCCAGGGGCGATACCCATCTGGTCCTCCGCAACGTGCCCCTGGGCTACTCTCCTGACCGCCTGCGCAGTACCCTCCTGGCGGATACGACCGAGGCCGGCCTGCCCTGCCTGTCCGACCTCCGCCTGTTCCATCGGCTCAAAGACCCGTACGACGAGTCTGCGTATTCTCAGCTGCTCGGGCTTCCCGTTGCTGCGGATGGTGACGCTGGCTTCGATCGCATCTCATCAGTCCTCTGGCTTTCTCAGCAGGAGGACCCTGTGCTTCTCAATATTTCGTCTCACTCGTGCACCGTGTGCTCCAGTAACCACCGGGTGGTTGACCACGCGTGCTTCGGTCTCACCCGTCGCGCGCGACTTCTCAACCGCCACACCATCTCGATGGCTCAGCTCCAGTCTGTTAACGGTACTGTATTCACTAGCTGGCGCTTCTGGTTTTCTCCCGTGGCGCAGGTTTTTCGGTTCTTAATCTTCGTGTTTCTCTTGTCGAAATATGAAAGAATGAGGATTAACGAGTAGTTTAAACTAGGGCCTAGGCTTAGTAGCCTAGGCCCAACTAGTATGTCGAGCGGGTTTTGCCTAGGGTGAGATTCGAGTGAGTTGAGAGAGAAGTTGGGAGAAATGAGGGTTTCACTATAGGTTTCGAAGTACACATAGCAAAGGAAACAAATAAAGAGGTGCACCACCTACAAATTTAATAACTACACTACAGCTAGAACTACATGCAGTTATAATAAACATAATTCTGACATCCCCCCGTAACTGCATGCAGGAATAGCTAAGTGCAGAGCACAACCTGCAGAGGTACACCAACGAACAATAAAACAAGCAACAGCAGGTACTGCAGGCGGGCTAACTTTGAATGGTTACCCCCTCCATCTCCTCACCCTCCTCCTTCCCCTCCCCCACACTGCTGCAGGAGCAGCAGAGAGGGGGGGAAGAGAGGAGAGGTGGAGGGACGGCTGCTGGTTGCCTCACACCCGCCACCCCGGTGCCACCCCCCCTGCTCCCCCACACCCTCACACCCTCCCCCCCAGCGGCAGCTGCAGCAGTGGGTACGAAAGGAGGAGGAGGGGAAGGGAAGGAGACGACCCAGCACTCCAACACCCGCCACCCCCATACCCTCCTCCCCACGGCTGCAGGGAGACAAAGGAGGAGGGGGTGGGCGGGAAGAAAGCCGCAGAGCGGCTAAACTGTGTCGGCGCTGATAGGTCAGGGGCGGCTGCAGGGCGAGCAGGGGCGGAAAGGCCCGTCGCGTGCCTCGGGGCGCACGACGGGTAAGTTTAAGTGAAAGGGCCCGATCGTGTGCCTCGGGGCGCACGACAAGCAGGGCACCGTCGCGTGCCACGGGGCGCACGACGGGCAAGTTTAGGGCATCGTCGCGTGCCACGGGGCGCGCGACGGGCAGAGAAGGAGTCACACGCCAACCGGGGGCGGGACAAGGGAAAATCGCCACGCGCCCTAGGCGCGCAACCGAAAATTCGTAGCAGCGGAAACGTGAGGCGGGCGCACAGGCCAGAACGAACGTCGCTCTGATAGCATGTCGAAATATGAAAGAATGAGGATTAACTGTTGGAGGGAGTTCGGTGGTGGGGCGGTTGTATGCCCCCAGCCCAGCGAGGGCACTTCGGTGCCTTCGATCCCTTTGACTAGGGATCGGTGGGGTTGCACCGATTGACTTCGGAAGACTCACAATTCGGTGCCACGTGGCGGCACCACATTCCAACCTTCAAGTGCTAGGCGAACTCGGTGTGTTCGGTGTGAAATTCGGTGGCCGAATTTCACCCCTTCCGAAATGTTACACGCGGCGCATTCACGGCGCGAGTGTAGCGATGCGATGTTACATGTGCGGTTCGATGTAATGCATTTGCTATAAATCGACTTGCATTGTATGCATGTTCAGTAGTGAAACTCAGAGTTCTTTGTACAAGGTACATTCGAGCACAAATTCCAGAGAGCTCCTATCCTTCAATCTAAGAGCACTACCTAGCTCATAAACGGCGATATCTCGCTCGATACTTAGGCGAACGAGGTGATCTACGGCTCGTTGGAAAGCTAGCAGAGTGCTCTACTGCTTAGAGCAATTCCCAGTTCCTGAAAAGTAGAGGAGATTCCTCTACAACATTAACGAGTAGTTTAAACTAGGGCCTAGGCTTAGTAGCCTAGGCCTAACTAGTATGTCGAGCGGGTTTTGCCTAGGATGAGATTCGAGTGAGTTGAGAGAGAAGTTGGGAGAAATGAGGGTTTCACTATAGGTTTCGAAGTACATATAGCAAAGGAAACAAATAAAGAGGTGCACTACCTACAAATTTAATAACTACACTACAGCTAGAACTACATGCAGTTATAATAAACATAATTCTGACATCTCTGGCTAAAGTACTGTATTGGTTTCCATTACTCTCGGTTCACTCGTATGCTTCACCCTTGCTCTCCGCCCGGTCGTTATCAATGGGCTTCTATGCTGATCCCCTTTTGCTGCTTACGCTACTCTTCTCGCCCACCACCAAACAGGACCTCTGATCGGCCAGCAGCCTGCTCCTGCAACCTTCAAGAAAGACCCCGGGCTCCTCCTGATCGAGGTGGATCTGGACGTGGAAGTTTGGACGTGCTCCATGTGCGAGTTCGAGTGTGGCTTGGCGTTGGACAGCGCCATGTACCACCTCAACTCGGAACTTCACCGCAAGCGTCTACAGGAATCCGCGCACCTGCCTGCGGTCAAGGACAAATATGGTGCCTGGAGAGTCACCACTCTCCTGCAGCACCCGCGCATCTCTGCTTTCCGGCAGAAGGTGCAGCTTCTCAGGGCCGGGCTCTTGCTTGTGCTATGATAATCTCCCAGCTATTGCAGATGCTGCATAGCATACTCTCTTGCTGTGTCTTCCCGATGTACCCCTTGCAAAAGAGTCATTCTGCACTGGAGAGGCCTCCTATATATATATATATTTTCGCGAACCTCTAAAGGAAAAGTCGGGCTGGGGTTCAGGGATGAGAAAGGGAAGGCGGGAAAAGATCCTGCGGGCAAAGCGGTTGCCTACGTGCCAAGCGGTTTTGTTACAGACCTGAGATCGTTCGCGAGGAATGAGAAGATGGACGTTTTTTTCGCGACGGTTCTCCCCACCTGTATCACCGCTTTCGTATTTCATGGTAACCAGTTCTGATGAAACAAACCATGAGTTCGTCGTGCAGAACGTCGGGAGCAACACGCTCTTCAGGTTTCTTTTGGAAAATCTCGAGACAACCTCCACGATTGGGTTTGGCTCACCCATGCCATACATACCTCCCCATGAGCGAGCAGAGCACAGAAGTCAATGTTCAGCTCCAAGCACAGAGCGGGTGATTATCTAAAAAATACACACACACAGTTACCGCGAACTTGCAATTGCGCGCTCTTGTTACTGTTGTATGCATCGTAATGAAGCGCTTTTTAGCGTCCGAAGCTGGAGTAGCCATGGTGATTGCATTGATGCTATGTTTTCAATCTGTCACTCTTGATGTCGTCGCTACCAGCAGTGCCGAGCCGCAAAGGCAGGGACCGCCCTTCTTATTGTTCGGGTACGGTATTCCCGCCATCCCTTCCAGCTGGGAGTGCCGCAACGGGTATTATAACCGCATGCATTCGTTGCAGAAATGTCACTTTGGGCACAACCTTCCTCACACAACCCCAATCTGTCCATCTTCGAGTCGACATTGAAGGCCAGGTTCGAATTTTGGTCGTTCACGAGCAATAAGTTTTTTAATGTGATAACTTATCGGTTTTCTTGTTTCAGAGATGGAGCTGGTCGTTAGAAATCAACAAGACGAGCTCGTACGCCTTCAAGTACGGCGGTTCCCAGTCTCCGTCAAAACGAGGCACATTGACAGTTCGAATTCCACATGGAAGTCAATTAACTCACGTCATCAGACATCCCTTTCCAGGTATGCTCGTCTCTCCCTGCACTCATAATTGTGACAACGGGTGTACCCTCTGAAAGTTATTTTCCATTTCCAGTCATGGGCGTCCAACGTTTGGACATTGACGAAAGTGATATTGACCCCGAGGAAGAAAGGCCTCTGTCAACGATCTGTAAGTCCCTTTGTTTCTGTTCTTGCAAGACGACTTGTACTAACTAATGCATGCAGCGTTACCAGAGACTAGCGAGCTTGTGCTTCTGTTTGATGGTCCTGCTTCTCTACCGATTTGCGCTGGAGAAGAGCTTACGGAAAGCTATTGGCCCATGAGTACAGTCCATGGTATGTGCACGAGCAGGAATTTGTTGATTTAACGAATCAGTTAGCTAATGTTCTCAACCAATAATTTCCATCAGGTGCCCAATGTTCAGTGCAATCCATCGTTTCCAGCCTAAAGCTCATTGATGATTTGACCTGCGAATGGAGAGAAGATTCTGAAAATTTCCCTTCACTTTTTAGAATTGCCGGAGGCTTTCTGATGTGCGGCTACATGTTATTCGGACTCACCTACATGGGAGTTGCTCAGACTGTTCAGTCGAAGGCCCATGCACCATGCAGTTCTGACGCTGACATAAAATGGAAAACTGGCGCTATCCAGGCATGGCAGGATGCTCAAGGGAGGTTATTGGAGGCTGAGATGTCGCAGCCTGCTTGCTTCTACTACCTGTGCACCCCACTGAGTAACTGCACGATTGAGCTCAAGGGTTTGTGGAACCGGGATCTCAATGGCCGACTCGTGCGGCCGCCCTAGTGCAACGGGATGAATTGTTGTGTGTGTTACTCTGTCGGAAGTGTATCTCCATGCAGTATCGACCTGTTTGTTACAATGGTTGGAAGCTCACTGAATGACACTAGTGCCCCATGACAACTTGATGTTGGAAGGGTGTACCCCTCATCACCAGATTGTTCGGTAGTTCTTATTCTCCTTGCCTAGTTCAGCAAATACCATCCCAGAACAGTAGTCTCATATCATTTCAGTCCCATTCCAAGCCTTGATTCTTTCCCACCTGTATCAAATATCTAGGGTTACATGCTCCCCACAAGCAGAGGTTTGTGTGGTATTGCTTAGAGTGGTACCATGTTCTCCACTCCACCACCCTTGCTAGATACAAACCCCAATTGCTGGTCCAGTCATTCCTGCTACCGGTACATTCCAGTCATCTGCCCAGTACGCATTTGTGACATAATCAGATTTTTTACGGGTCTTCTTCGCCCCAGTCATCGTCAATATCATCCGCATCTCCAGCTCCTGGCTCACCAGTTGCCTCCACATCACCAAAATCCTCCTGAAACACCCAGCCAAAGAGGGCACACAGAAATAAGGGATTTTGAGTTGGATGATACTAACTAGGGAGGAAAGGAGTTGTAACCTAAATCTACCACATCAGGGGATCTAGGCACTACTTCCTTGTGTTCTCACCTCAGCAGCTGCTTCGGCAGACTCCTCTGCAGCCTCTTCGACTGCCTCTCCCTCTGCCTCTACCTCAGCTTCTACCTCCTCTGCCTCAACCTCCCCCTCCACCTCAGCCTCCTCTGCCGCTGCTCTAAGCTCATCCACCGGGTCCGAGTTGACCGTATCCTTCAGCTCCGGGTACCGCAGTGCTGGCTCCTCCGCCTCTCTGCAGGCACAAGTGGGACAAAAATACAAATTTATTCAAGCTCAGCTCATGCACTTTGTCTGGATACAGATATAACTAGGCATGGGAAAAGTGCTTTACAACCATAATTCAGCAAATAATGACATGTGAGAGGTGATGGGCAGGAGGAAATACAGGACAATGACCAGTAGAGCAACAAGCAGGTGATAATGAAAGAAACAGGGACAGGGTTGAAAAGAAGCAGAGGAAAGACAAGAGAGCGCGCTCTGGTGCTGCTCCACGGCCGCCAGGCATAGTGCCCAGTTTCTAATATATATATATATATATCAAAAACCAAATATCGCCTTACACCTCACCTGCCCGACCGGAGTTGCTCCTCTGCTTGAAGCGCGAGAGCCCAGTTGGGGAAGAGGTTGGGGTACTCTGCCGGGTCGGCCAGTGACTCTGCTGCCTTGGCGTTGATCTGCAGTGACGGTGGGGATGCACGGAAGGGCGGGGCACACAGTGAGAGGGCAGCGCATGTGAGCAAGTCGGCCCTGTAATGCTGCACACACACCGGCTGCTAACGATTGCACGTACAGCCCTGTGTGCTGCACCTTCTTCCCACAACGTACCTTTTTCAGGTCTGCCCGCCACAGCTCAACCACTTCAGGCATCTTGCACACACTGCCTGCTGGCTATTGCAAGTGCTGCCTTGTGTTGCTGCGCTGTACTTTCTCCCCCAAAACTTACCTTCTTCAGGTCTGCCCGCCACAGCTCCACCACTTCAGACACCTTCGATGGCACGTAGGTACGTGCGAGGAAAGCTGCCTCAGGGATTCGCCCACTGGGATGGTGAAGGCAGGAGGAGGGGCGACGGATACATGGTGAGAGAGGGGCAGAGGGTGGTGGGAGAGGGAGGAAAAGGAAGATGGCAAGAGGTCAGACATTGCATCGAGAGGATAAATAGATCGGAATGTAATGTGGAATGTGGTAGAAGAGGTGGGGGCGAAAAAAAGAAAGCTCAAAATTGAGAAAAACATGTGACCACATGCTTTTTTCTGTTACCCCCCACATGTACATTTCTGACCACATGATTCTCCATATAAAAGCATTCATACCTCTGGCACAACAGTCCAATGCACTCCTCCGTCTGCTGCAGCAGGAACAGACAAAGGAACGCCACGTTGAACTTGCCACCCGCCCGGGCCTTCTCCGCCAGCTGGCGGATGCCGTCCCGGTTGCCCTGCGCCGTGTACAGCAGCAGCAGCCCACTCATGTCAGACGCGGCTCCGAGACATCTTTCGGCCAGCTCGATCTGGAGAAGGCAGGGAGAGAGAGAAAGGGAAGAGGGGAGAAACGGAAAGGCAGGAGAAATGGAAGTGAGGGGGGATTTCTGGTCAGGGTTCAGGTTCCTTATCAGCTGCGGATGCCCTCCCCTCCCCGTTGCCCTGCGCCGTGTACAGCAGCAGCTCATTCATGTCCGACACAGCCCCCAGACATCTCTCTGCCAGCTCAATCTGAAGAGGGCACGGAGAGAGATGGAAGGCGAAAAGGGAGGTTAAAAAACGGAAGATGAGAGAAGGAGAGAGAAGGAGAGGTAAGGAAGGGGAGGTGCGAGAAAGGAAGGTGTGAGAGAGCAACATCAGCCACCTGCTTTCACGTGCTCCCACTCTCCCCCTCACCCCACTATTCAACCCACCTCATTCTCTCTCCCATCATACTCTCTGCCACACCCATCACTCGCTGTCCCCTTTCACACTGGAATGCTACGGTAATGCTGCTGGGCTGCCAATGGGCTGCTATTGGGCGTTGAATGCATGAGGATATCACTCACATTGCCGGCTGACAGAGCGAGGTCGCCAAGTTGCTTCCACTTGTTCTCACTCTCTGCTGTCTCGGCTATTTCCTGCACACACCATAAGGGTAGAGAGGAGAGGGGGTAACGGGGCGGAACAGGGAGGCAGAGCATGGGGGGTTTGGGAGGGAAGTTGGAGGGAGGGAGGGTTTGGGGGCGAATAAGTGTCTACGAGGGCATTTGCTTCCACAGTACACTTGCTCTTGCTCCCTGCTAACTTAGCTTTCGAAATTTCTCAAAATTCACTTGCTCTTGCTCTTGGCTAGCTTTGCTATCTCGAGCATGCAGACGAGACACCAAAAACGTGAGTGAGCCTCGGACAAGGAATGCGCCACCAATGAGGCAAGGCAGCACAAACAAGTGAAGTGTAACGCAGAGGACAGGCCATGCAATGAGAAGCAATATCATGGAAATAGACAGTACCACAGCAGCAAGAAACGGAAAACTGGGGGGCGGGAAAGTGGGGAGAGGAGAGGGAAAGGAGGGGGGAGGACGGGGTGGGTGGGGGGGGGAAGGGGGGGGGGTGTGGGGGGTTTGAGAGGTGGCGGGTGTGGGGTTGTGCTGTGGGGGGGGGTGGGAGGACGATGTACACACCTTGGCGATCTCAAGGTGGCCCAGCTGCACGGCCAGGTCGAACTTGTAGTCAGGGTCCGTGGCCACTCGCAGCGCATCCTCCATGAGCCCCCGGGACTCCAGGAACTTGGCCACACTGTAAGGCAAGAGGCGCGGGGGAGGGAGGGAGGAGGGGGATTGTGAATTGAGGCGCACTCAGCAGTCAAGGGGGTGTGGGGGGGGGGGAGGGGGGGGGGGGAGTGGTGTGAAGGGGGTGGGTAAGAATGAGAGTTCTCCATTAGAAAGCCCTCCAAGAGAGAGGGGCGGGGACTTTTTAGAAAGCATGCAAAGCTGAGGCGAGGAAAGAAAAATCACACTTACACCCAGAAAAGGAGAGAAATTCAGTGAGAAAAAGGGAGAGCCAAAACGAAGGCCTAGTTGTTCGACCGAGAAGTAAGCGAGTGAGAGAGAGTACGGGAGTGAGTGAGAAAGAAGCACTGACTTGTTGAGCTGGTCCGTGGGGATGGAGGGCAGAACGGCCTCTGCACCCTCCATGTCTCCTCGCAGCACGAGCGTCTTGTACTCGATGAGACTCAGCAGCAGCGTGTAGCTCACCACACTGGCGTGGGAATGCAGAGAGGGGCGTGGAACGGGCCATGGAAAAGAGGGGCCAGAAGGTTGGGCCATGCATTAGTTCGACAAGAAGAAACATTAGCCCAGATTCAAGCTTGCAAGCAATCTTTCTCCATGATCTACACTTGGTTACAAGCATGCTTCTAACGAATCCGTTAAGACTGCAGCTTACTTGAACTCCTTGTCGATGACGATGAGATACACTCAGCTCTGGCTGG